GTTTCCTATATACCAGGAAGTCTCTTAAGTGTTTTACATGTATTGATTGAAACCTTAGCATATGTCTAAAAAGTAGGCACTCTTTTATTATTTATTTATTTATTTATTTATTTATTTATTTATTTATTTATTTATTTATTTATTTGCGGTACGTGGGCCTCTCCACCGCTGCGGCCTATCCCGCCGCGGAGCACAGGCTCCGGACGCACAGGCCCAGCGGCCACGGCTCACGGGCCCAGCCGCTCCGCGGCACGCGGGATCCTCCCGGACCGGGGCACGAACCCACGTCCCCTGCATCGGCAGGCGGACTCTCAACCACTGCACCACCAGGGAAGCCCAAAAGTAGGCACTCTTATTGTTTCCATTTTACAGATGAAAAAACTTTGGCATGAAAAGTTTGTCACTTGCCTAAGGTAACTATCTCTAAAGTAGAGAACCAGGATTGAGCAGAATAAGAGACTGAACTGTGATAACTTAAAAGTGAAGACTACCCTTGATCCCACGGGGAGTTCCCGAGCTGGGGCTGACTCTTCAAGGGGGTCTCAAATTGAGGCAAAGTCATTGTACCTTTGTACCCCCCAAACGAACCAGTCATTGGAAGTGGACTGGCCCCTGGAAGTTGCCATAATCTTAGGTGTGGCACTTTTCTTTGGCCCAAGGGAATTCCCAGAGAGGCCGTCAGCATGAGCCATTAGCAGCCAACACTTCCAGCAGCTGGGGAAGTGACTTAGTCCTAAAAGAAGAAACTGGGAAATATACTGGTTTCCATTATGGTCCTCCAATTATGCCACTCAGATGTACTTGCTTCTTACAGTGAATGCACATAGGATTCTGGTTGCTCTTGTTGCCTGGAGAAATTTCCAAGAGAAAGATAAATGGGACAAACTACAGACAACTGTCCACAGCAGCTATTCTCAGCTGTTGTAAGCGTCAGCTGCAACTGACACTTATCATCACGTTCCTCTACTACCCTACCCTACCCTACATTCCTTTCACCCTTGACTAGCATCTCCGCTGGTCTAGGTGGCTTACCTGGCGGGATGATCCAGATCATCAAGGAGGCTGAACACCTGGTCACCGTACCTTTCTCAGGACAGAGCTGCTACACTTGTTCATCAACAAAATTGGGAAAAGAATATCAAGAGACATCTCATTGGATTACCTGAATTCCGAATGTTTCCTTTTTTGCCCTCACTGTATAATAGAAAACCCACATCTTCTGGGTGACAGGACTAATTACCCATGCCAAAAGCCACGGTGACGTCTTTCCTCGTGTGCTGGCCTCATAGCAGCCATAAAGTTCAATGGGGCTCTTACTTTGTCTCCCAGTGGGAGTGTTCGCCTTCTGGGAACCAGGATCTTTAGGTTATTTTTTGCACTTTCCTCCCAAGAACCCCATATCCATCTTGAAGAACACTTGTGGAGGAGACTATTTTAGACCACAGATGGGAGTATATGAGCACTTTGACAGCACCCAGCATGCTAGAGTAGTTGATGGAATTCCTGGGTAGGGACATGAAGTTTCCACCCAGGTGACTGTTAAGAGTAGATTCTAAGAAGCAAAAGGGGTGAGCAATTCTGGTTTTCTTCCCCCGCAGAGAACCCACTTACTCTACTTTGCTGCACCTTAGAAGGTTAGTCAGTATGAACTGTATCAATAGGCTTTCTTGCCTTATGGCTTCTGGTTGGGTTTAGTCAATGGGGAGCCTGGGCATGAAACAGGAGGATGAAATAGACTGAAGTCTGGCACTGGCTATTTCTTGCAGAACCTGGGTCTGGACACCACCCCTGTCGTCCTCTCAGCTCCTGGAATATGATTCTCTCCTCTCTTATCTCTGGATTTCAGTAATCATTCCCTCCCCTTGCCCCTTCAGGCTTACAGGTGTTAGAGCACTGCCTTTACCAGCTACTGGATACCAACCGCCTTTCGTGGTCTTTCTATTGATACATCCTTCCTGCACTACTCTGTAAGTAGCCCTTTTATGAAAACTCTACTCGAACTGCCCTAGTCTGAACGTCTCAGCTGTTTCCTGTTGGGGCTCTAAGAGGCCAACTCATTGAAGGCATAAGGGAAAGTCCTAACAATAACCCATAAAACCCAACAAGAGCAGGATCCACCAAGTCGTCTCTGCCAGTCCATCTTCTCCCACCCCCTCACCATCCCCAGCTTGTTCTACTGCATTCACACTGGCCTCCGTGGTGTGGGCCTCGGCATACGCCAAGACCGCTCTTGCCACACAAATTCATGTGACTCACGGTTCCAACTCATTAAGGTCTCTATGCAAGTGCACCTTAACTAAGAGACTTTTCCTTCCGATTCTACATAAAATAGCAGGATCCAATCCCCTTTAACTATCTTACACTGCTTTAGTTTTCTACATCACACTTATATTTTCTTGATTCTTCTGTAGGGAAAACCATTAGGA